TCTAATGCCCAGTCACCAGAGACGTGGTGAAGCGCAGAGCCTGGCATCCCCTTCATAAGCCAGCTCTGTAAAGGCAGCAGAGAGAAGGAAAGTTCTATAGAAATAACCAAGTGCAGTGGTCTTCCATTATTTCCTCGTATTGCAGGGAGGGTGGACCAATGGTCAGAGCACTGCATTGGGACTCGGGAGACCTGGGTGCTATTCCTGGCTAAGCAGCTGGCTGACCGGGGGCAAGTCACGTCCCCTCGCTGTGCCTCAGTTTCCCCAATTGTAAAATGAGGTTAACAATCCTGACTTCCTTTGTAAAGCACTGTAAGATCTATATCCTCGGTGTTATATTATCCTGTGCCCTGCCTGGTTCCCTTAAACAGCAGGGTCATCACAGGCTTGGAAGACAATGTGCATGCCCACAGTATCAGCTCAGCCGACAGCACCTTCCTCGTAACCGATGCCCCAGGTGCCTGTAGTAAGCTGCAAACTGGGGACCACTCAAGAGGTAAATTGGGCAAAAATACATCAAGCTCATCTTAGGAAATGATTAAAAAAAGCTGGCAGATGAAGGTGTGTGACTCTGATATGTGACCCCTTTGTGTAATGAAAGGAAGGGGAGACGGTAAGGAATGGAACTTGTCAATTATTCCTTGTCTCGTAGATTACAATAAATATCACAGTCTATTACATATGCGAGGGAGATACTAGAGTTAAACAATTTAAACACCGTGCGCGGGGTTCAAATGGAATAGGCTGAATGGAGTAGGGAGGGCGAGGGGGAAGGAATAAAGGCCAGGCGTCTGCAGCTGGGCCCCAGGAACACATTTTGAGAAAACCCTGCCATTCAAAGCAACCAGATACCTTTCAAAAGCCAAGAAATCGCTCTACAGCCGTATCCTCAAGAGCCAAGATGTAAGCAGGTGGCATCTCCCCCCGGCTTTGAACAGTCTAAACACAATTGTCACCACACTGAGTTCTTCCACAGTGCATTTCAGCCATAGATCTCACAGCACTGAGTCCAAACTTGGCCTATGCCCGAGGCTGGCTTTGCTGGCAACTTGGCTAACAACAACAAACAAACTTCAGCCTCAGCTTTCTCCTCAAGTTTAGTCATTCCTAGGCCTTTCCCGCAGGATCTGCTCTGTCCCCGCCCATAATTCCCTCTGCCTCCAGATACCCTGATGTCTCTTATAACCAAGGCTGTACTGGTATCCTACTGCCACGGAATTTGACCCTTTCTCTCCCTATCTTTCATTGCTGCAAATTTTGTTTCAGGAACTACGTTTTCATTTTAAAAGATTATGCTTCTAGCCCTAATGGGTGTGAAGATAACCTGGAAAATGTGACAAGTGTAAACCAAAAGTGTTGGCCTTCTTGAGTCCGCAAACAGCCTGAAACAGCTCTGAGAAATCTGAATTGCCTACGTTGTCCCAACAATGGGGTTGTTAATTCTGAAACCTAATGATGACAGTATACATGTCAACATTGTTAGCTGTGTCACTTCTGGTCATGTAAGCAGCAACATCTTAGTTCATGTGCTTATCTCACAATCCTTAGCAGCCATCCATACTTCAGCAGATGCCCCCACCTACTTTCCTAAACCTCCAGCTGAGCCACTGACGACTTCATGTGTGTTGTCAGCACAAAACTCCCTAGCATACCAAAGCTCCATAATCTGGGGACAACGTAAAAGAAATGGAGTTTACTATCAGCTGCAACAAAATGGGGCTAATGATCTGATTTCATTACCTGTTTTCTGATTTAATTGAAAACCATCATTTTAAAATTGAAATTAAGTTGCCTCTGAATTTCCAGCCTGCTGCACCAGAATCCAGGGCCCTTGCCTCAGAACTTTGGTCCCGTTTGTCACCAAGCCCAGGGCGCCCTGCTTAGGTTCTGATTGGAGCTAACAAGATCCACCTGTCAACAGTAATTATCCCACATCTTTACATGGGCTTCTAGCATCTAGGGGCAGCGTGACTATACAGAGGAGCCCTGCGTTGCTGTGCCGGGTTCCGAACCTGCCTCACAAGGCCAAGAATCAGCCCTAGTTTAGCTTTATCCAGAGAGGTGAATGAGCTCCAGCGGAGAGAGGAACATCCTGGCATTCCCCCTTCAAGCCAAGCTACGTCCTTTTACCCTTATCAGTCTGGCCACTCGCTTTCCCTCTATGACAGGTTTCAGAGGAGCAGCCGTGTTAGTCTGTATTCACAAAAGAAAAGGAGTACTAGTGGCACCTTAGAGACTAACCAATTTATCTGAGCATAAGCTTTCGTGAGCTACAGCTCACTTCATCGGATGCATCGATGAAGTGAGCTGTAGCTCACGAAAGCTGATGCTCAAATAAATTGGTTAGTCTCTAAGGTGCCACTAGTACTCCTTTTCTTTTTTCTCCCCCTATGGTTATTGCTCAGTGAATAGCAAACCCTTCCTCATGTGAACAATGTTCAGTATGGAGCTGGTCAAATTACTCATTGCCAATACATCACCCATCACATTTGGCCCTCTTTTGGGCTCCCCACTGATGCCAATACCTGCAAAACCCTAAAGGTTTGCCCAAAAGCCCACGTGAACACATGTCAACCTAAGGGGTGTTGCACACTATGTGCTTTGACTATTGTGACTGGGGTGCCCAATTCCCCACCTCCATGGTATTGTTTCCACTCCTTAATTGGGTGTTGGAACCTTTTCCAAACAGCAGAACAATTAGTAACAATTGCTGGACAGCAAACAGTGAATGCTCTTGTTCCAGAACCACGTGACTCTAGGTCTCTGTGCATTGTCGCCCTGCAAACATTCCTGCCAACTCAAAACTCCTGTCCGAGAACACCACACAGGAACGAACATGATCGAACCCAGTCGCAGTGCAGAACTCGAATCAGCATCTGTGACCATTGTGTTTGCAGCATTCTGCTGGCTCCGGCTGCATCCAAACCCTTCCCACCCACCAGGAGAGGAGGAGGGAAAGGGCACAGAATGACTGAACCGCTTCCCCGCTTTAGAACAGCCGGTGGGTTTAACGAACTTGGGTTTCCCTGCCATTGCACCCCCCTTTGTTGGCCACATACAACCATTATGCTACAGCAGCAGCCCAAACCCGGCAATAGCCCAGGGCAGGGTGAATGGAGTCCTTGCGTACTGGTCAATAAGGGGGACTTTGGTGAACGAAGTCTGGCACCCAGGGATTCAGCACAAGGGCAGCAGCAAGGAGAAACAGCTGGTGAGAGTGGACAGCGAGGATCATGGGATTCCCCGTTCTTCCTGGTACTTGCTAAGAGGAGGAAATAATGCAAATGCCCTGGGAAATGGACCCACTCCGGGTGGGCAGTGCCCAGCTTTTAATGGCACCCGCTGCATGGCTGTTAGCTCAGACAAGTCTCCTGGCATCTTTTCTCCAAAGCAGGCCCCCAGAACAGCAGCAAGGGTGAGGCTGATCCCCGGCGACCATCCACTTGACGTACGTGTTAGTCTGAGCAGTGATGTTCCCGCTTGGAGCCGATTCCCATTCGGTGTCAGTAACAAACGTCCCCAGGCACTTTTACACCATGAGAGAGAGCACATTACCCCCAGCGGGGCTCAGCTCAGTCCCGCTAACACCCCCGCAAGGTGGGGGTTCAATGAGAATTCATCTTCCCACCCTCAGACTCCCCCTGCAGGGCTCTCCCCGGGGTTGGCGGAACTGGGCCTTTAGCTCTGCCGCCCGACTGGGCTCTCCTCTTTATACACTGGGTTTGGCTCTTCCTATCCCAGACTGTCCTCCGCAGTGGGTGGGAAGGAGGGGATTCTTCGTGCCCTCCCCCACCCCAGTCCCAGAGGGACGCTCCTGTTTGATGTGCACTCAAGCTGTTTCCTGGCTAGGGAGATGCCCCCTCCCCAGCAGACGTTTCCTTTGAAAGGAGAGAGACGCAGCTGGGCTGCGGACACCCGTGTCGACACGTGGAACTCAACACCTCCCAGAGCACCCCTTCGCATACCCCTACGGTGAACAAGTCCCCAGTGGCTGAGTGACACAAGGCCTCTGCTTTCCAGGGGAGCAGCCCAGGCTGCCGCTGGTCCTGGTGTGGCCCAGATGCACTTAATGCCACTCTTCCAAAGGAGAAGGGGAAGACAAAAATATAGCCCTGACTTAGGCCAGACAGAGCCCCTCTGGGGGATCTATATGCAGCAGGGACATAGCTCCCACGTGGGACTGTAACTCCCCCCCTGCCATGAGGCCTACACATGGCCAGGCTGCGGGATGCTAGTACTTCTGCTGATTCAGCTAATCAGGGTTATTTCACTGTTTGCCTTCTCCTTCCCCCTGTTTGTTCCAGCTACCCACTGGCGTCCCGCGGGTTCCCTGCTCGTTGGAGCAAGGACTGACTTTTTATTATACGGCATGTAGAGCTGCTTGGAAGTTTTTCGACAAAACATTTATTCATCAGAAAATACCAGTTCATCAAAACCAAGCCTGCTTATGGGAAGAGGTCGGTGTTGACAAATTTCCCATTTTGGAAAAAATTTTTTTTTTGCGGGGGGGGGGGGGTCCTACTTTCACATTTGCCAAACTAAAAAGCTTCATTTTTCCAGTTAAATTTTGAAACGAAAAGTTGCTTTAAGTTAATTGATCGTTCTAAAAATGTTTTTAAAAGGTCAAAATCAAAATGAAAAGTTTAAAAATCATCAAAACCAAACCATTGCAATTGATCTGATCCCCCCAAAAAATGAACGGATTTCTGGTTTGCGGAAATATTCAAGATTTCTGCTTCTCATCCTGGGAAACTCGTTCTGAGTCTTGAAAACTCTCATGAGACAGGAAAACCATTTCCCACCCAGCTCCACCTGTATGAGCGTACAGTGCCTAGCACACTGAGTCCCTGAAGATATCTGATCGCAGACGGTTCTTTAATGCAGCCGACAAAGACATAACAAGATCTAATTGCTGGCCACTGAAGCAACACAAGTTTGGACTAGAAATAAGGCAGAGGGTTTTCCCCGCAGGGAAGGTAATGAACACTGGAACAACTTACCTACGGATGTGGTGGACTCTCCGTCACTTGAAGCCTTTACATCAAGACAGGATGCCTTTCTAGAAGAAAATGCTCTAGCTCAACCAGAAGTTATGGGTTTGATGAAGGAATCATGGGTGAAATTCTGAAGCCCGCGTTGCTCTGGAAATCAGACAAGATGACCACAATGGTCCTCGTAGGTACTTCTGGGGCACAAATAATAAAGGCTAAGAACAATAAGTGGTAACATACACAAGTGCGATTTCTGACAAAACCATAGAGACTGGCAGAGTCTGGATCTGCATCCTTGTCTCCTCACAGTTTGGGTCCTTGGGTTTTGATTCAGGCCCATTGCTACTGAATGGGTTTTGATGCTGTTTGAACGGAAGGGACTGGATGGCTCAAGGGCTTGGATAGCTCTAGACTAGTTATTTGAATCCAGCCCAAGTTGGTAGCATCCAGAAAGTCTTACTAGGAGATTACAGCTGTTGAGTGGAATGAATTCAGTGGTCTCAGTTCAGTCTGTAATGGACAAAGACAGATATAAAAAAACCCACCATCCTCACAAACTAGGATATAGCTGGTGGTCTCAGCAAACCGGCCCAAGGGCTAGACAGGCTGTGCACATTGAAATGGTCTCTTGGGTTGTCTCCAGGTTTCCTTGGAGTCATTAAGAAAAGTCATCCGTGAGCGTAGGAGTGGGGAGTGAAAACTCTTGTCCCACTCCCAGAATAGATATCAGCCCCCAGACTGGCAACGCCCACCCCGTGGGCTGAGACAGGTGCAGACATTGAGTCAGAACATCCCCCCAGCACATGACACACACTCACCCCTCTCTGTGCTCCTCTTCCCGGCACAGGCCCCAGGCAGAGCGCAGACCTCGGTGAAGCTTGGTCTGTCACCTTCAGTCAGGGCATGTTTCACATCTCTACCTAGAACAAAGATCCTTGTGGAGTTATTAAAACCCCCACCCTTCCCTTTGGGACTGGAGCAAAGTGCAGGCCCCTGCTGTTGGGGTGTCGGGGTGGGGGGCATTGTTTGCAGCTCCAGATAATAAAATCTGCACCTGCCTGGGCTGGCTTCCCCTCCTGAGGCCCAGTCCTGCAATCCCTATGTAGGCAAAGTGAAGGGGCATTAAGCAGGACTGCAGGGGTGGGCTCCTCATGCCACCTGCATAACCTGCTCACACTCCCATATCCACATTTCCTCCCCCACACTGCCGGCCAGGCATCAAACCTCAGTCCCTCCTGTGGAAAAACCAGTCTGTGCTCATGGAATTGAAGCCTGTATCATAACGCACTGCACAAGGGGGCCACGTTAAGGACATACAGGAAACCTTAACTCCAGCATTTTCAAACTTTTGAATACTGGACTTTGCATTATTCTTTTCATCCAGTTTTTCGGGTGGAGTATATCAGAGGCTGCTTCCCGCCCCACCCCCCCACACACACACACCAATTTGCTCAGCGCACGATGACAAGCAGAAGCATTTCTCCCCCCCAAGGCCATGATGTTTGAACCCCTCTCCGAATCTGACCCTCCTCTCTGACCCAGCCCAGGCCACTCGCTAGTCACTAGCATTGAGAGCTCCAAGCTCTTCAGCCGGAGCAAGAAATAGCACCCAAAGCATGGCCATTGCCATCAAGGTGGCTTTTTAGTTCAGATCAACTAATGCCGACAGCCCAGATACGAAGCCTCCACCAGAGAGAACAAGAGAGCACAGGGACTCCCTCTGCACCTGAGCTGAAATACCAAATGGCAGCTACCCCTCCAGCTGGTAGAGAGATTCCCCTGCATTTAAAGGTGCAGTGCACAGACAACAGAATGATGCCTTTTGCATGCTCTGTGCAAAGGGGGAACTGAAGATTAATGAAGGGTGTGTTTGACAAATGGGGACCGAGGAAGCAAACGGGCATCAGCGTTTCACCTTTGAAGGCCTGCCTTCAAAGTTGGATTTTTGGTCCAAGGGTAATGAATTTGAAGGTCTCAGTCTAGCTGGCTTGCTACAGGTCTCAGTTCAGGAGACGCCCAGGGATGCAATAACAGGGTATGTTTTAGGTAAGAATTGAAGAACACTGGAAGAACTTATGGGAGCAGGGACAGAAGGTTGCAGCCTGGGTGGTGCCAGGAAGGAGTGAGGTCTATCAGCAGGGCTGGAGGTGGGAGGAGAGATCAGAATAGCGCGGAGTCAGGGTTGAAGTGCACTGGCAGACCTGTTTGGAGGGTCTAGGACGGGAACAGCAGGAGGGCTGTTGCAGGTCAGGAGAAGCATGCAAAGCTGTGTGGAGGAGTTGTCCACATTAGGCCCGATTTTAATCAGGGCTGTCAGCATTTCACTGAAATGCATGGGTTTTTAAAAAAAACATATAACTGTACCTAATGCCCCGATCCCTCTGACTGTCATATTATCTCATGCATCAGTGGAATGTAAAGATTTTGTAATTTATCTCCTCTCTCTCGCGCACGCCGCAGGAATCCAGACAGCTGATAAAATATAAAGATTGTCATGAGAAAGGTACAAAACAGCCTAGGGAAGTGCCCTCATTTCACTGGCGGGTTCGTACAAAGGGATCATGACATGGCACATAAGGGGGCCATTGTCTTTGGAATAAAATCTCCATTTCAGCTTTCTTCTCTGGCCATGATCAATAGGAGGAAATTAAAGTCCCATACTGGGAAAAAAATTAGTTTGCTAACACAGTGTTGAAAGATCAGGTAATGGAGAAGCAGAGCTAAGACTGGGTTGCTGGCGCCATCTCTTGAACAGCGCGAGGAGCTGCACATATAAAGCCTCTGACTAACCCAGATCACCCTAAAAAGAAAAGGAGTACTTGTGGCACCTTAGAGACTAACCAATTTATTTGAGCATGAGCTTTCGTGAGCCACAGCTCACTTCATCAGATCACATCTGATGAAGTGAGCTGTGGCTCACGAAAGCTCATGCTCAAATAAATTGGTTAGTCTCTAAGGTGCCACAAGTACTCCTTTTCTTTTTTGCGAATACAGACTAACACGGCTGTTCCTCTGAAACCAGATCACCCTGCCGAAGTTCAGATGGAGAGCACAGCATGGCAGACAAGCCCAGCATGCTGCACAGAAGGGAGCTAAGGACAGGCACCGTCCCAGGAGGCTGGAGTAATTTCTTTCAGGCAAACAGTGGGCAGGGGGGTGGCGGGGGGGGGCGCAAACTCACCCTCACTGTAAATCCTTTGGCTTCAGCGCAGTCCCACCAGAGATGAATGTAACCCCTTGCCTTTAGCTTTTGCCCCCAATCCTGCAGCCTGGTAAAACTAAAGCCCAGTAACCAAAGTGAGAGCAAGCCCGACATGCGTGGGACAGGGGTACGTGTGCGCTGCGAAGTGCAAAGTGATGCCTAGTGCAAGCTCTGGTGGGTGCTGCGGGCCAAGTGACCAGCCTGGCTCAGCTCCTTCACCGCTCTGGATGGAAAAGAGAACAGACAAACCACTCTAAAGTGGGCAACACCAGCCTGTCCGCCTCCTTAGTTAAACTGGCAGCCCCTGTTGTTGGTACAGTGCCAAACGAGGAGCCTGTTGCCTCTAGTAGGTGTGAACACAGCATCTCCCTGCTTGGCTGCTAGTCACTTCAGTGTTTGGCTCCCCCCGGAACAGCCAGGAAGATGCAGGGTTGTACCCAGAAAGCCAGTCTTGATTTTTGCCATTGACTCCTCCCAGCACTGACCCTACAGCGTCCTATTGCACCCATCCCTTATCGGCTTGATAATTGAACAGGGCCAATTTTAATAACATCAGTTTCCTCTATGCAGGCTTGGTCCTTTGGCTTGGCCATGAAGGTGGCAAAATATCAGGCTCAGGTGATCTCTACTGTTGTGGCATCAGATGGGCAGAGAGACAGCCTCTAACAAAGGGCAGGGATTCTTGCGGCTATGAAAAGGGGTCACAGGGCTCTCAGCCGTGAAATGAGATGGTCTGAGGCCTTAGCGCTAGGTTCGTTTCAAGGGGATCTGTGCTTCCCCAACAGTCCTCCACAAGTGCCAGGGGAAAAGGCCTGGCAATTCGTTCAGCAGCTGCCATGGGGCAGATTTTAGCCCTTTGAAATCCAGCCAGAATCAACACATATATAGGGAACTAGCAGCTTAGCTGAATTAGGCTCCATATCTACATAGATCTAATGGAGAGGAATCCTGGCTCAGTTTGGTCCAGTGCTCTGAGATACAGACAAGGTGCTATATATTTTTGTAATCAGGAAAAAAAAGACTTCCATGTAGCAAGTAAGTTTCGAGAGTTGGTGTCATCGCATCTGCCCAGATCAGCCTGGCTAGCTGTCAGGCCTCTTTTCCTGTGTCCACACCAAGCTCTATCTGTTTAGATGAGCGGTTCACCAGTAAGCTAGGGAAGAGAAGTATCCAGGAGCTTTGGCTCTCTGCTGAGTGCAGATTACATTTCAAGTAGGGACAAAAACTACTTTTTGAAACACGATGATTGTTTATTGAAGGATCAGGGCCCCACTACCACGGCAAGTCGGTGCTTATAGAGCACCTTACAGCTGTTAAAGAGTGTGACAGAAACAATAACCAGATACGCGGGTGGAATCACTGCTATACAATACAAATTATTAGCTGTCTGCTAATGACATTCTAGGCCTTCCACTTCATAACCCTGCATTTGACTTTTCTTCCATTTACAAATAAATATTTAAGCACATTCCATTTTCAGTGTCTTAACTAAACCCGTGTATATATCTGAGCAGCCTCACATCATAAAAGAGTAAGGGAAGAAAAATTGGCTCAGTGTGTTTATGTAATTTGGCTAATACCAGTTTAAATCTGTGATGTCCTTTAACAGCGGCAGTATCCTGCCTTTGCAGGGATTGTAAGCCTAGATCCTCAAGGGTATTTAGGAGCCTAACTTTCATTGAAGTCAACGTGAGTTTGTGTGTGGATGTGTGTGTATATTATATATATATATACACACACACACACACACACCCTGTGATACACGCAAACCTTAACACTGCAACATGATGCATTCCAGAAGAGTTATGGCAGATAATATAACAGGTTTCTGGAAACGATTAGAATAAAAGTAGTTCTGAGCCATGTACAATTGGGCTCACAGCCTCCAAGGATCCTGGCTTTGCAGGTGCAGACAGAAAATGGGACCAGGCAATGATTTTAAGCCATGCTAAAACATTTCTAAAATAGTTCTGCTGTGACAAAGAGAATACCTTATGGCGTAGGCTAAAGGCTTTGTTTTTCCTGGCACTCATGTAGGATGCCCTGCATAGCTCAGTCATGACTTTGCTGTTCACAAGCAATGCGGCAAGCCCAATGTTAGGCCAACAAAGCCATTACACTACAACAGTGGTTTTCAACCTGTTTTCATTTGTGGACCCCTAAAAATTTTTGAATGGCGGTGTGGACCCTTTTGGAAAGCTTAGACATAGTCTGCAAACCCCCAGAGGGCCACAGACCACAGGTTGAAAACCACTGCACTACATTAATAATACCTGGCCCGTACGTAGTGCTTTTCATCAGTCGCTCTCCAAGCACTTTACAGAGGAGCTCAGTATCAGTATCCCCATTTTACAGATGGGGAAACTGAGGCGCCGGGACAGCCTGACCTTTCCAAGCCCAGCAGGGGCAGAGAGGAGAGAATAAATAGGATCTGCAGATCAGAATGGTTTCCACAGGCCTCTCAGAGCCAGTCCTATGGTCAGTGGGGCTGTAATGGTGTGTCTACATTGCAGCTGGAGGGGTGCTTCCCGGAGTGGGTAGACACACCCGTCGGCTCTGCTGGAGCTCGTGCACTAAACATGGCAGTGTGGCTGCAGCACCCAGGCGGCGGCTCAGGCTAGTCACCCGAGAACAAACCCGCCTCCGGTGCGGACTTGGCCAAGCAGCCCGAGCTGCCGCATGTGCTGCCGCAGCCGCACGGCTATTTT